GGCGCAGATAGCCTAGCTGCTTTGCGCCATAAAACACCAACCAACCAACCAACCAACTTACTCTTTATTTGTATTTCCTCTAATAATGCTTAGTATCATTAATAAATTCACTATTTAGTTGTCATTACTCATTTTTTCTAACTCCTGTATGTGTATCATTTGTGTATTTCATAGTTATTTCTATCACTGTAAATTATATGAAAAACAATTTTAGTTTTGTTAAGAAGCTGATGGGAAAGAATGGTTTGTAATTTTGAATATAAAACTAAGTATAAAGTGTTGTAAACATACAGAGAGTTGAGTATCATGTACTAAAATGATTTTGAATATGCAAATCAGCACGTCATGTTAGAACCAAAGCTCGTATACAGCCTTGTATGTAACAGCCCTTTCCAATGTAAAATATAGAGATGTGTTCAGATCAGAGATTTAAAATTTCCAAGATGGGGATATTCCATGTATTTAATGGCATTGGAAAACAAAGGGATATGAATCAACTATGGTCACCAGGACCATCCAGCAAGATATATGAAACAAGTCGTATCCCAGTCATGGTAAGCAAAATGCTTCTTCTTGTAACAGGAAAGAATCCATGAATGCAAAAGTTAATGGTAAAATTCATCCACTTGTTCCAAGGAATGGTATATAACATAATCAAAAAGGATCTCCATCTGGAAAAGCAAACAAGTTGCCTCCCTGACATATCTGTTCAACTGTTGAGTATCTTAAGCAGCTGGAGAGTGAAATGGGTATTCCTGCTATTCCATATAAAGACATGCCTGTTAAATTGCCAGACACGGTGCCTATGGATTTCTGTGCAATTGGAGTATTGAAGAGATGATGGAAAACTGTCTTCCAAGTATGACAGAGTCATATGCTTTGGACATGACAGTCTTTCGTTAGAGACTTTTGTGCTGAAAACTATGCTTAAGGACTATTGTCAAGATGCATGGTCATCAGATAGAACATGATTGGTTGTGGTGACACTGAATGTAACAGTATGATGAGGCTCCAAAATAATTTTAATACAAAGCACTCAACCTCTGTGTTTAAAAAGTGAAATATTGTTTGTTTGTTTTTGTTGGTATTACTAAGAGTAGTAAACAATATTCCAGTGTAATTATAGAAAATGACATTTTTCTAAATGTCTGATATTTTCTCTATTCTAATAGTGTTTGTAGGGTTTGTTTTATTTATTAAATGCTTTCTTATTTTTAGTATTTATGTACACAAAATCTCAGTTTCTTTTCTATTTTTAGTGTAATAAAATTAGTTATTTTGCTATTTTTATATTGTGTATGGTAAATGACATGTAAGAACCTTTGTCTAATGTTTGCTGGGTAAAACATGTGTAAGACATGTAAACTGTCAATGCAGTAGTTATGTGATTAGTGAACACAACTGTAAAATTGAAAATGATAAAACCCTCATAAAACCATATGTTTCTCCTACAAGCTGGTGTAGAACTTCTATTCCTTGTATGTCTTTTATTTTATGTTAACTTTAGATTCAGTAAAATAATACATTTATATTTGTATGAACTGATGCAATTGATATTTATGGGGATTTCATATATAATGAAAGAAAACTATACAATAGTGTAAAAGTTAAAATATAATTCAAATAACTAAATTGTGAATTAAAGTTCATTAATGCTTTGCTGATTGTTTGATTTTGGCTTCTTTTAAAGAATTAGAAGAATCTCTTTCACCTGTAACAAAGCCTCATTTTCAGCTTTACTGATTACTTTGAACATTTTGAGGTTGGGACCACATCACATTCACCTAGTTCATGTCAAAAATGCTTGAGCTATCCTTGAACCTAGGATTAGAGTATTCTTTTAAATGATTTTCTAGTCTTCTGATAGTTGAACTGATGTAGGCACATTCATATGTAGGGTAGCAGAGTTTATGAATGATACATGACACTTGAAAGAATGGTATTCAATCTTTAAGCTTGTGAATTCCCAACAGAGGTCCATACAAAGCCAAGCTCCACCTTATAGATGTTTTCCTATACAAGCTTGGTGGTTTTAAAACCAGAGAAAGAAGGTGGCATTCAAATACACTTTTGAGAATTAATTTGCTGTTATTTTGGTTTTCCTGATGTTTCATATCTTACCTAGATGCTGAATTTTCAATATTGGGAAAACCTGGGATTGAGGATGTAGGTAAGAGAATATTTAAGGTTTTAATTTAAAAAACTGTGTATGAAAGAAATATTGTAACCTGTTAAATTGTATACCCAGAACATACTAGCAGGTAAAATAATCTTTTTTTAACTTTTATTATCCTAAGTAAAAAATTTAAATATTTTTTTGTAGAATGAAAACATTTGTGAAAATACAAAATCCTCCTTTCTGAGGTGATACATCTGTATCCTTAAATTAAAGTATAGTTAACTAGAATTCATTTGAACATACTAAGAGAATATCATTTATATATATATATATGAGAATAATAATCATCACACTTAACACACCTACAATTATATCATCTTTCTGAGTAGGGAAGGCATCTTTTAATTCCATTTTAATTTTCTTAATTGTACTTGATAATATTGGTGAGGTCATTGATACATTCAGAGCAGTTGTATAAATGAGCAGGTTTTTTTTTATTCACAGCCAATTTACAGGAAAACAGATGTTTTATACAGTTTCTGACTGACTTGAACATTAATTTATTTGATTTATTGCTCTATCATTGTATTGTTTATGAAGAATGGATTAAGCAAATTTTAGGTGCAACTTTTTGTCATGGAGGTATTACCCTCTAAACCTGGGACTTCTGCCAAGGTAGTCATAATTTTTTCAGAGTAATATGCCAGAAGGTATTAGAAAAGTCAGTGTTGATTATACTATATTTGAATATAATAAGACAATTTATTTTGAGTTCAAAGCGTGCATATTTATGCTAAAACAAACAAAAATAATAAAGACTGTGTGTTTATTACCAAAATTTATGGGGTGAGGGGCTTTATTACACACTGGAATGGTATAATGGGGAAATTGTACTGATAAAAAAAATAACCAAAATATGTAATAGTCTTCACATGAGGAAGTTTACCTGTCATATTATGTATGCTGCAAAGCAATGGAACATTTGACTAAATTCCTGGTTTGTTAGGAATGGTTCATCTGTGTTAGGTTGATGTGATTTCAACCAAATCAGTGCCAAATACCAAATTTCCTGATAGCTCTTTGAAATGGTCAAGTAGAACATTCTTGTATACCTTTGCCACATGTTAATGTTGACAAATAGCACATGCTTAGTTTTCCAGAAGAGCTAGGCAGTTAGTGGAATTTACTAATTGGTTAGTTGTTTGGCTCATGAGATGGCAAAAGAAAAAGAGATTATTCTTACAAGTAAACTAAAAGACTCACTTATGATGCTACAGATCAGGTTTTGATCCTTTTGGTGGGCAGAGCACAGCTAGCCCATTGTGTAGCTTTATGCTTAATTTACCCTTTCACTGTGGACAGGTCAAAGAGTGCATGTCATGACATTTTAGATAGTTATTTTTAAAATTTTATTAAATAACTCTACTATTGCTTATGTCAAAGGAATTGACATCAAAATGAAGGTTATATTTCAAATTTTAATATATATGTTTTAATTTCTTAATTTGACCCTATAATTATGGACACCCCTGTGCTGCATGTCATGGGATTTTGTTATATTCAAAATTTAAATAAGCAATCTTGCTATCAAGATACCAATGAAATTAACATTAAAATTTACATTATAGTTCAAAGTTTTATATTATCTAAGTTTTAATTCCTTTATTTCAAAAGAAACCTTAAAGAAAAATTCTGAAACTTTAATTTGATGCACAAGTTCAAAAAATTTTAACATTTCGTCTTTGTAACTTAAGTAATTCTTTCTGCACACTATACTTCTATGTATAGATATAAACTAGATATATTGCTCTGTTTACTCATTCTTCTATAAAGCCCCTTATGGGATGTTGATAGGAAAGAGAAATAAATTTCTTGGAACTCTTGACATATGCTATGCCCATTCTCTACATATACAGTTGCAATTTCTCAGCCAATTATACTTGGTTGAGTTAGATGTTTGTAACCAATAGAAAGATAACATTTTTAAATAATATTTCCCAACAGTTATTTTAAAATTGGCACAAAATTCCATTGAGAACTTGTTAAATGCTCTTAGCATTTTTGCTGCTTGCATCCATGCTAGCACTTTAGTATTATTTCTCACCTACAAATATGTTAGTTAAATAAACAATTAAATTTCATCTAGCTTTCAGTTTTATATTTTAATAATAATGTGTTAGTTATGTTTTAAAATATAAGCCAAACTGCCTCGGGGGTTTATCAGGTTTGGTGTAATAGGCAAATGTCCCATTGTTCTGAGGACAACTATAGAGTCGCTGCCGAGTAAACCTTGAGAATGCCCATTGATGTGTTGCGGTAAGTAATAATGCTAAAGGATAGGAAAGGAAAATAAAACATCAAAAATAAACTTTTTCTGAAAAAGTAAAAATTTACAATTAAGAATATAAACTAAGAATATTTTCAAGATTATTTGATGAGAAATGCAAAAGTGTGTAAATATTTTTATTTTTTATTTTAAACATTTCACTACACAATATGTTGATGATAATACCTGAAATATTCAGAGTGTAAATAACTGCAATACAAAAATATTAAATTTTGTACACAAAGAATGAGATTGTTTTAATTAAATATTTTAATTATAACAATCTCATTCTCTGTGTACAAAATACTTGTAATCTTGAACATAATCTTACCAATTGTTGTGACGATATATTAAGAAAGCTCAGGGTTATTGTAAGCATTGTTGAACTGTGTATCATTTCCCATACGAGAAGTAGCCAAATGAGTTCAACCTCATTATCATAAGTTTTATAGGAAATATTAAAAAAAGCTAAAAATTACTTTTTGTGTGTCACATAGCACTTCCTATTATGTTAATGCTCCGTTTATAATTTATTATTTCTACTACACTATGTGTACAGTGGTTATTGAATTAGAAACTCAAATTGGAGATACTGACAAGTTATATTGAAAAATAACCTTCTACTTCTTTGAATTGCTGAGATATGAATATATTTAGCCAATCTAGTAGTTTGGCTCCTTCCACTACTCCATTCTTTCAAAACCTCTTGTCTAGTTTATAACCAATTGGAAAAGCAGTTTCTTGTGTACATAAATCCTATAACTGTTTGTAAATAGTTTGAAGGAGAAAATCATAATTTTGCTGAAACTGTTAAAGCATGATGACTAAGTTGTTGCTCTGAAGAGAAATGGGATTTTTTAAAACCCATATAAAGCTTGTTTAGAAACCCAAATAAATTACAGATATTGTGTATGCACTAATATAGTAAGATGATAATTTTTTTATTTCCTAATATGTATATTTGAAGTATACAAAAACTAATAGCTCTATGCCCTCCATTTGAAAGAATAAATTAGGTTTACAGCAAGGCTTAGCATGTGCAGTGCTAGAGTCCAAAGTCTCATAACCACCATAAGTACTTAAAATCTTTGTTTTTTTAAAGTATCTTTTCTTTATTCTTCTATGTTTTAAGAAAAATAACTAAAATTTAAGCATTTGTAAATAAATAATAACAATATGTATATATACATATGTAATGTATGGTAGCCGAAATGTCATTATATTTCACAAAATAATAAAATACTGGTATTATAATTAGAGATTTTTACTTTGTAGGCCTATCTAGTTATTCTACTGAACTTATATTATTCTTCTAATTGTGTAAATTGAGGTAAAATAAAAGCAAATTATGCAACATTAGAAGCTTGACAACTTGAAAAAAAAAGTTTATTCATAACATTTTAGAAAGATACAATACTTTAAAAATATCTGCAGAATAAAGTTATGCACAAATGGTATATGTCTCTAAAATGAATAATGTGCATACAAATGGCATGAAATGATATCAAGTTATACATATTCTAACATACTAAATGTATTCAAATAATGACACATGATAAAAGGAACAACCAGAATTAAAGTATCAAGAATGGAAAGAGAACATACCTTATGTTGTTCACAGGAAATACTGTATCAGTGAATGCAAATTTACATAGGTATTATACTACAAACATTTTAGACATTGTACACTGATTTTGACACATTTTGACTACTAAAAGAAAACTACAAAATATTTCGGTCAAAATTCATTGTAAAAAGTAAACACTGCTGTACATTGAAATACAAACATTAAAATCTTTAGAGAAAAAAAAAATGGAAACAAAGGAATAGAGCAGACACTTTTACATAAAGAATTAAATTCTTTGAACAGTAACAATAGTGTGATACTTTTCAAAATGTTTAATACAAAGAAATTCATAACCCAGTTTACATTTTGTTACTTTATTGTCTGTGAGGACAGTCTGCATCTTTTTCTTTAACTTCTATCAACAACTGTTGTGTAATGCCTGCCAAGAGTGAGTCTGAGAGGTGACGAGTCCTGCACAGTTCTTGAAAGTGGTATACCAGAAGGACCTGGTCTGCTTTGAAGTAGAGGCTCAATAACAGCTGTGACCAGGTCCATTCTGAAGGACTTCTGGGATAATGCCAGCTGATTGGTCAGTTGTTTGTACAAAATATAAGCATTTACAACTGTTAAGTCCAAAAGTTGAAAAAATAGTTTTTATACCATTTTATTATCATTCGTCCAGTAGAATAGTAATTTAAGTGTTAATCATTCAGTTCCACCCCTCTTGTAAACTTGCTTTAGTCCACAGTTAACTAAGTTTTGTTAACTCAGTATCCCTCTTTCTTCTTGTCATAGTACTAGAGTGTAAAGTTGAAAGTGCATAAATGTCTTATATGTCAGTCCACTTTACAGCTGTTACAGTTCCACATTTAAAAAATTATGCATCCCCTCTCTGTTGCTGTGGGAAATAGGGTTTGTCTTTCCTGCATGTCCCACAAGCATAGGTTCCTATAGTCAGTAGTTTGTCAAATAAATTAGGGGAAGTGTAAAAGTTGTCCTTGAAAACCCAGTATCCTTGTCTCTTGTACTTGTCCATCAATTACATCACAATGTTGTCTGCTAAACTTGTAGCTGACATTTGTCCCTCTTTGCCTGTGTAAATTTGCATATTGATTCAATTGATTTACAACTATGTTTAAAGTTTATAAATTAAATAAA